ACCACCTTAACCAAGCTTCACAATCATTATTGCTGTGTACAGTATTAAATTGTTTGTTTAAAACTTATACTGTGTGTGTATATATATATACATATATAGTCTTTTGTCTGTCGAAAAAAATTCCCTGGAACCTAGCCCCCCCATTTACATTAATTCTTATGGGGAAATTGGATTCGCTTAACATCGTTTCGCTTAAAGTAGCATTTTTCAGGAACATAATTACAACGCTAAGCGAGGAATTACTGTATGCCCCTCCTCTTCAGCTAGCAAGACCACTTCATTCCCCTAGCTATTTCTTCTTCCATCTCTTGAGCCTGAGATCTCTCCCTGTGGTGGACCCTCAGCTATTTTCCGTGGATTAAGAAGTCTGTCCGCAATAGCTGTAGTTGCGAAGTAGGTCATGGCTTCCTCTCCTGGTATGAAAAAGTTGCTTTGAAGGCATAGTTATTGTAGCCAGTGCAGAGAAACTTTCAGTATTTGTGATTCATTCTTCAGTGGCCATATCTTCACATACTCAAAATCCATTATTTGATCTTAGAGAAATAGTTCTTGGTTTCAAATGCTTGTTATATATTTATATGTGAAATCCCTTGGCAACTTTACTTGCTGCTTTTTGATAATGGAAATTCAGTTTGTGGATTTATAAATGTAGTAAAGTAAATCATATTGGTGCATACACATTCAATTAAAAAATGATGCATGTGGTGGATTCTATTTGAAATAGCTTTAAGCTAGCCTTAATTCACACTAAAAAATAGCCAATAAATAGTGTCTGCTGTAAAGAACCACAGCCATGCTGGTCCCAGCTCCAAAAACATTTTATCAAAGCCCCATTGAGCTGTTGATTTTTTTTATTTTATTTTATTTTTTGGTGGGGTGGGGAGGAGAGCATTGTATTGTTGCAGATTTTCAAAGGATTTCTGGGTTAAACATTCTTTTTTTATAACTGTTCGTAGTATATCTATCTCGAGGAGAGTGTACTGGTAACACTTGACTTGGAATACCTTGTTTAAGAGATTTTAATTAAATATAATTCCTGTTCTGAATTGAGCATTTTACACTCAGGAGTGTTTTCAGTAAAAACATAAATCAGTTTTATACTAGTATGTTGGCAAGGGAAATCAGGCTGTTCTCTGTACAAGACCCTGCCCCAAAGAGCTTGCAGTCTACATAGATTGAAATAGAAAACACCCTGGGGGAGACTCAGAGGAAGATGCCAACTTAGAGCAGTTTTTAAAAATTAAAGTGATGGGTTGTCAGCATTTCACACACAATTTTAATGGCAATGGTTAGCATTTGTGGGCTTTGTAGTGTTTTAATATTTTAAGATAGAGCACACACAAATGCATCTTTAAGTTAATAGGTGTTTTCCACCTTTTAATTTCTATTATTATATACATAAAACATTGCAGTCCTATAATATTTTAATTGTTTGAGTCTATATTGGTGATGATGGTAACAGTCATTAGCCCCAATGTTGTGCTTTGTTTTGTATGAACATATAGAAAGACAGTCTCTTCTCAAGAGAGGCACCCAGTCTTATTCAGGTAAGACAGTTTAGACACACACAATACCATTGGGTGGTATGGCCATCCAGAATGGTGACTCTCTCAAGAGATTTCTGTTAAAAAGGCAGGGGAAGTGTGCTTTCAGGAGTGATCTGAAGGAAGAGGAGAGGGTGGCAGTTCCAAGCATGAGCACAGCAGCCAAGAAAATTTCATTGCTAGAGTAATTTAGTTAATTTTAGCATTTCATGCCACAAATAGAAATGCTATTTTTTCACAGACATTTTAAATAGCTTATTTATTACTTTGAACAACACAGATGACTTCCGCTGGCTTAAGGAAAAAAACATTTAATATACTGCATGGTTAATCAAATATGCTGTTTTAAAATCTAGATGAAAAACTTTTTATTAAGCAATAATCCTATAAAAATGTTTTCTTTATAATATAGCAAAAATGTCTTCAATAAATCTGTCTGGTGTTTCTTGTTCACAATATTTTACTTACATCCTGTGTTGAACAGATGTCAGCTATCCCATGTCTGCTTGTCCATAGGTGACAAAAACTCCTGCCATACATTTGTCATGAGTGCGTTACCAGAAGGGTTAGTGTGTGTCTGAATGTTAATTCAAGTTGTGCACAAAAGCTACATTAGGGTTCAAGTATTTATTGAAACTGGAAAAAATGAGTATTAAGGCAGCTAACGGATTTCTGGTTTTTATGCTGCCATAATCTGAAGAAATATGGGTTTGAAAATTGTATAGTTAAGTTGAGCTGTTGGAAGGTTATTTTTTCAGACTCCAGTCCTACAGTCACACTCATCAATAGTCCGGTTGAGTTCAGTGCTATTATTCATATGCATAAGTGTTTTCAGGATCAGAGTGAGACTCTAAGCTTTATGGCTTTTTATGATTGTACAGAACCTAGAAAATAACAGTTGCCACTGGAAACACATCCTAGATATTCAGAATGAAGTTAGTGGTTTGAAAATCTTCTACATTATTACTATGTGTTTTCTCACAAAAATACAGGTAAACAGGAAACCTAACCATATACAAAGTAATACTTGGTCAAATGCAGAAAGTAAACAAACTGAACAATTAGTCTGTTTCTCTAATCATTGTCTGTTATAGTAACCTTAGTATTTTTCTAAAAACTTCCCACCATAGTACTCCCCCTGGTGCCCCTGGTAGAAGCAACAATAGCAGAGCTAGTATCTGTAGGCCCCGCGTAACACCTGGTGTGTTGACCTCCATGCCAGGACCTGTTCTCAGCAGATTAAAGTGGTTGCAATTCCAGTGGCTGATCTACATTAGTGCTCCCACTATTGCTATGAAAAGTGGAGCTGAATTGGTGGTAGCACAGTCTTCTCCTTAGGGTATGTGCAACATGCCTGAGGTGGCACGTGACCACGAGTCATCGTCGAGTTTGATATGCTGATTGGATCATTAGCTTGCACAGGCTGGGTACTGATTGGGAGGGCGACGTGAACGCTCATCCATGCCCCCAGTAGTGCAATAGCTGATAATAATTAGAAAATTGCACATGCAGAGACAACCATAGCTTTCACTTATTATAATATTGGGCTATCCAAAAACAAAAAAAAGAGGTTGTTTTTTTTTCCAAATTGTTACTGTCTTTTTATTTAGTTAAAATTTGTGCAATGCTTATAAAATGCCCTACACAAGGGATAAATATTGTGATTAAGTCTTGTCTACACACAAACTTGTACCAGTTTTAATTAGAGGTATGTTTTTCAAACTGATTTAGTTCAAACAAGTACAAAGCTCTGTGTAGACACACAGGCTCAGATCCACAAAGGGACTTGCGTGTTGTGATACAGAGAGTCACAGCACTTAACTTTTAGTCACCCAGAAAATCACAGGAAAAGCAGTGCAATCCATGTCTCCTGAGTTAGGTACCAGGCTCCCAATACAGTGCATGGGAGGGATAGGTGCCTAAGAATGCAGTCTGCAAAAGCGAGCATGCTAGGTCGGAAGCCACCTAAGCTAGCCAGTGCAAGATCCTAAAGAGACTGAGCCCCTGCCTCTCTCACGAAGTCTGGGCTGCTGCAGAGAGGCACCTATGTGCTAGTGATCGACAACCGGGCACCCCTTTCCTGGATCAGACGGCTTAGGTGCCTACGTTATTTCTTGTGAGAATGCATTAAGTGTCTATCTCATGCCACACAAAATAGCTGGAGGAGGACGTGGTGCCAGCCTCATAACTTTTAGCCCACTGGTTACAGCATTCAATTGGTATGTTGGAAACCTGGGTTCCATTCCCCTTCTCTGAGCTATGCAATAGTCTGACGTGCGGCCCCTTAATTTTTCCTGTTGGAGCTGTTCCACCATGGATGAATATTTGGGCTTGGTCTACACTACAGAGTTAGGTCGACATAAGGCAGTTTACAGTGACCTGATTATGTCAGTGTACACAGTATAGCCTTGCTCCTGCCCGTGTAAGTGCCCTACTACACTGACATAATAATTCCACCTCCATGAGAGGCTAAAAACAAGAGGTAATTACCGCTGTGGCTGTAAATTGACCTAATATAGGTCAACTTAAGTTTGTAGTGTAGACATGCCCTTGGTTGTTGGACCAGACAGAGAGGGAGAGTGACTGTAGCTTGGTGGTTTGGGCACTTACTTGAGAAGTGGGAGAAGTGGGGCTTCAGCCCTCCTGCTCCAGTTAATCTTTGGAGAAACAATTAAAGTAGAACAACTTCCTTAGGAGAGATTGAGGGAGACTCACATAATAATTACCCATAGCTCACTGGTTAGAGCACTCTCTTGAGAGGTGGGAGACCACTGTTTAAATCCTTTCTCCCCCTCAGGCAGAGGGGGGAATTGAACCTGGCTCTCCCATAATCCAGGTGAGCACCACCACTTCTTCCTCCTTCACCACCTCCAATGGGACCCAGTCCATTAGGCAGGCTCCGAGCACATCTATCAGATCAGGTGATACAGGCAAGACAGTAGAATGCCTATCTTCCCATGAGTTATGGATTGCTACTGGGCTTAGTCAGGAGATAGGCACCTGGATGCCTAGCATGAAGCAGCTGTGCACATGCCCGGAGGCAGAAACTTAAATGCACGTGGTTTTAGGCAGCAGCCAAGCAGGAGTTTTCTGGATTACACTGGAACCTAAAACTTGGACTTAGGTGCTTAAGTCTGAGGGGGGTTAGGCACCCAAGTACCTTTTGTGAGTCTGGACCTTGCTACTTTTAAAATGAAGCGTAATTAGATTCCTTACAAACTAAACTGAAATAACTCACTTTTAAGCAGAAAAAGGAATGTCTGCCTGTGAAGATTTTTAAAATTAACGTCATTAAACTGTTGCAGCTGTCTCATGTTAGCTTTTAATTCTGATTCAGTGTGGCAGCATTGTACACTTTCATCAAAGCCGTCGCGCTGATCCAAAATGTGCCCATTTTACAGTCTTCATTTTTGAAAAGCTCCACCTTCAGCTTCCACTTCTTTTCTTCTAATGTAGTGGGACATATCACTCCAGAGATGAGAGCACAGACAGTGGCCTCAGCATGAGCAGTTATAGTGTACCCAGAACCCCCGATGACTTCTTGAACAGCGTTGATGAAATGGATACAGGTTTGTTTGTCTTTATACCCATAATGCAGGGGGTTTTTTCCCCCCAGATATATTTGTCTTTCTTGCTTGCTCAGTCATTAGTGCACAAGAAGGAACATGCAGTTCAGGGAAGCTGAGAGATTCTTGACAGCATTATCTTGTGGATATGCACCAGATCAGAAATATTACAACATTCTTTTCCATAACTTTTGTCTCTTACAAGGATTCAGAAGGTGTGCAGTTTGTGTCAAACTTGTTTGTAAGAAATTAGTCAAAGGTTCTGTCTAAGGGGAAACTCTCCTAAATAGTATTGGTATCCTATGATTGTGTGTGTATTGCGTGTGCATTAGCTTTTTGAGTAATAATATTTTTGTTGCTTGTCCTAGGCTGAAGACAAAAAGTCATATTTGAGTATTACTGTGCTCAATTATGTAATGTCCTTTCAATTACTATAAGATGCAACTGATTTTCTTGAATGTAGTATAAGAATACTGTACATGTACAGCAAATACTGTAAAGATCAGTGTATGGTAACATTCGGGAACTGGGAAGGTAAACACCAGAGGAGTTTTCTGTGTACATTGAGAATTAAATACTGTTTGATTTATGTGAGTAATCAGATTGCCATTAATGGGATCAATTGCATGAGTAAGGCAACCAGGATTTAAGCCCTTAATTTGTTATCTTAATCAAGTGTATTGGTTTGATACTTTCAATATGTTTAATGTCTGTTTGCTTTGTGTTATAACTAGGCGATATCAGCCAAAGTAACATACCTTCCCATCAGAACCGTTTCCCAGATTACCTTGAAGCCATTCCAGGGACAAACGTGGACCTTGGGACACTGGAAGGAGATGGGATGAATATAGAAGGAGAGGAACTGATGCCAAGTCTGCAGGAGGCTTTGAGTTCTGACATCCTTAATGATATGGAGTCTGTGTTGGCAGCCACCAAACTAGATAAAGAGAGTTTTCTTACTTGGTTGTAGAGGCCTCAGGGAGACTGCATTGTAAATCTGTGAAGGATCTAAGGAGATAAGACATCTGTGCCTGAAGTTCAAAACAAGCCAATGTGGCATACTTTTGGTTTGTGGTCAGAAAAAGTAAATGAACAAATATTCAACAAGATTCTTTCATCCAACATTTTGCTCTTCCTTGTCCATCGCTGCTGTTATAGATTGCTGACCTCTCTCACAGTTGACTCTGAAGAATAGACATCTTTGTGATCTTTTTCTATTGATGTTTCAACTACTGTTCAATTGGGGGCAGGGGGATGATGAGCCTGTTTGGATGACGAATGCCATTCCTTTTGTACTAATATGCGCTTGCATATCATTTTATCTAAGGACTTAGATTTGTGAGTTAACATCTGCATGTCACCACTTGTAGTTTGCTCAGCTAGTTGTCTCCTCTGCTGCCTGTGGCAAGTGGTAAAACACAACTTACCGGTCTGAAAAGCCCAAAAAAGATGTATCTGGTCAAAAGAAGTCAATACTGATTTGCAGATATAGCGCAAAGGAGGGCTGAAGACTGTTTGACATTTAGTGTTTGTTACTGCTAGCTCTTCTGTTAGGCAACAGAATGTTCTTGTTCATATTTTATGGTATAGTAAATCATGAGTCATTTTATATAGAAACTTATATCAACTTTGATTTTTACCACATACTCTAGGCTAACTTTTGTCAGTCAAAAACCAGAGGAGTTTTGGTTTTGTTTTGTTAGTGAATTTAATTATAGATGTAGCTTGGAAAGTAATTGTAGGTGTTCTTTTTTTAATAGTGAAATCTAAATTTTCTGATTTCACATAGTCTTATTTAAGTCTCAATTGTCTGCTTTTTTATATATCTAAAATGTCTGTTTTAGCTAAATAGCTAGTGAGTACATATGGTTTTATGTTTTGCCTGTAACTTTTATTTTTAAAGGCTAGCTTTGAATGTAATCATTAGAATAAATGACCAGTGGCTTATTTTTCATGTCTCCTTGCAAGAATTTGAAACTAGTATCTGGTTGCAGGACTTTGAGACTGAAGTGTCATATCTAAGCTTTTATAATGCCTTTTAAAGTAGCGGAAACCATACACTACATGTTTTAATTGACTGTTACAAGTAATTTCTTTGGGTTAGCTTTCAGTTTTGATTAAATCAGTGAGTTTAGATTGTGAAGTCCATGATGGGAGAAAGCTTAATGAAAAGTCTTCCCTTAATTAGCATGGAAAAATCATCTAAATTGTCATCTCACTTTCTACTGTAATGAAAACACTAAAAAAAAAAATAAGACTGTCCTAAACAAAATAAGTATTTAGTTCTGTGTGGTGAAAAATAAGCCCTGGACACTATGTGTAGAAGACTGTAAAGATATGTGTTAGATGGTGACATGAGCAGGTAATGAAGTGTATATTAGTAGAGTTTAGTGCAGGGGTAGAGATGAATATGACTTACCTATATTTTAACAGGGAAAGATGTAACACTAAATCATCTGCAGGAGTTGACACAGTTTCCAAAGAGTATTTTTAAATGAACAAAATGAGCATGAATCAAACTTTCAATATAAGCTATGAAGTAATTTTTGATAAAAATAGTGGCACCAGCTAGCACCTCTGTAATTAAGGGTTTGGCGGTCTGTCAGCATTCACATAAGTCCTTATTTTCAAGGGTTTATAACTGGACCATAAAAAGACTTCAGGTCTGAAACTTGGTATGAGAAGTCTCAGCCTGAAAAGAATTTTTTTAAAGAAATTGTTTTTAAAGGGCTTGACCATTGTTTAAGATATAGGAGTAAATTGAAAAAAAACAAGAATGGACTGAGTTGTCTTTCAGTTCTTCTATGCTCCAAAAACTTTAAATGGCTGTATTTTATAATAATTTGTAGACTGTTAACCTAGAAGGACTCTTTGGTTCTGGAGTTTTAAAATTTGCTTTAAAAATTAAAGCAACAGAAATTGAGATGTGAAAAATTGCTACTAAGTATACACATTTACTGTTTCTCATAAGGATTTTAGTACGCAGAACTTACAAAAGCATATGTGGATTGTTGCAGAGTATGGTTTTTAAAATGTTGATTCCCACTGTGGCATCTTAACAGCAGTCACATTGTACTATACCAATAGTCCACAGATTAGTAAGCCATTTACATGCGCAATAACAGAAACAGCCCTTGGAACAGTAAATTGTGTCCATAATAGGGATTATAGGAGCATCTCACACTCCCATTAAAAGTTCTTCCCTCTTTCCTTCCACCACTTAAAAAAAGATATTTTAAAAGACACTACATTGTTTAAAATAACTTGAATGGTCTGACATAAAACCACAAAAGCAAGGAAATTCAGAGTTTTGATGAGCGTGGGTCAAGTTTGTTTGTTTTTTTCCTTGCTTTTATGTGTTTCTCATAGCTTTAACTTTGGAATGTTTTCTTATTGTAAAAACTCTAAATAGCGTATACTATATTTGGATAGCACTGCTGGGGTAGGTACTGACAAACTGGGAATTCTTGAATTGCTCTGACAGTAAACCTGTTTTGTGATTCTTTAATCAACTTTAAGACATTTCCGTTCTCTTCCATGTATTAGGGAATGTTTAGAGATGCTGTACTGTTGGCAACTGAAACTGATTTGGATTTTATTCTGCAAAAGCAGAAGTGATGAAGTGGTTAAAATTTGTTTGATCTACAAGAGTGTGTTGGGTAGTATTTTATACTGATTGATGTATATATTTAAACAACAAAAATCATTGTCCTGATGTTATAGTTTCTAGATTTAAGTATACTGTGTTCAGAATACAGAGGAGGCATATTAACTCTACCGTGCTATGGCAGTACCTTAGCTGACAAATGCTTTGGAACAGGCTACAGTGTCAGTAAATCACATGGATCAAAAATTGTACCAATCAGTGTTGGAACTGAAGCAATGCAAAAGAAGAAGAGACAATTTCAACAGGATTAACACTTTACATAGCTTTTGCACATCTGGTGAATTAGTACTAAAGTGACTTTTCACTTGCAAGCATGGTTTTTATACAAATAGCCAGTGTGCCTGTCTAAAATAATTACTTGTTTTTCTGTATCTTGAAAAAGTACTCTCCACATTTTAAATGTTCTATATTAGAGAACTCTTAAATGCACCCTTGTCAAAAAAATATATATAGTTATCCATGTTACTTTTTAGATATAAGAGCATGCCTGTTAGGTGCCTAAGTAAATTCTGTTACATTATTTTTCTTTATGTAATACTTTTTCAGTTGTTTTATGTGATATAAATATATACTTTGTGCTTAAAACATCTTGTTTGTTTTTACATTTAATAGTAGATAAAGCTATTTGATTGCCTTAAATCAGGCAAACAAATTGGAATTGTTTTTTTGTTGCATTGCGGTTTTTGTCTGTTCTCTTAATCCCCATATAACATTTTTTGTAATTATAGGCTCCAGTCCTGCAAACGCTTACACACAAGCTTAATTTTAACCGTGAGTAGTCCATTGAAGTCAGTGAAACTACTAGAGTGTTTAAAGTTAAAAATGTGACCAAATGTTTGCAAGATTGGAGTCATGCTGGAAGGGCATAATGAATGGGGTCCCGCAGGGATCAGTTCTGGGTCCAGTTCTGTTCAATATCTTTATCAGTGATTTAGATAATGGCATAGAGAGTACACTTATAAAGTTTGCGGACGATACCAAGCTGGGAGGGGTTGCAAGTACTTTGGAGGATAGGATTAAAATTCAAAATGATCTGGACACACTGGAGAAATGGTCTGAAGTAAACAGGATGAAATTCAATAAGGACAAATGTAAAGTACTCCGCTTAGGAAGGAACAATACAAAATGGGAAATGAGTGCCTAGGAAGGAGTACTGTGGAAAGGGATCTGGGGGTCACAGTGGATCACAAGCTAAATATGAGTCAACAGTGTAACGCTGTTGCAAAAAAAGCAAACATCATTCTGGGATGTATTAGCAGGAGTATTGTAAGTAAGACACAAGAAGTAATTCTTCCGCTCTACTGTGCTCTGATTAGGCCTCAACTGGAGTATTGTGTCCAGTTCTGGGCACCACATTTCAGGAAAGATGTGGACAAATTGGAGAGAGTCCAGAGAAGAGCAACAGAAATGATTAAAGGTCTAGAAAACAATATGACCTATGAAGGAAGATTGAAAAAATTGGGTTTGTTTAGTCTGGGGAAGAGAAGACTGAGGGGGGACATGATAACAGTTATGTAAAAGGTTGTTACAAGGAGGAGGAAGAAAAATTGTTTTTCTTAACCTCTGAGTATAGGACAAGAAGCAATGGGCTTAAATTGCAGGAAGGGAGGTTTAGGTTGGACATTAGGAAAAACTTCCTAACTGTCAGGGTGGTTAAGCACTGGAATAAATTGCCTAGAGAGGTGGTGGAATCTCCATCATTGGGGATTTTTAAGAGCAGGTTCGACAAACACCTGTCAGGGATGGTCTAGATAATACTTAGCCCTGCCTTGAATGCAGGGGACTGGACTAGATGACCTCTCAAGGTCCTTTCCAGTTCTATGATTTTATGGAAAGATTGGGGGGAAATCACTCATAACTTGCGTAAAACAATATGTTAAAAGAGCAAAATAACATACTATATTTGATAGCCCCTGAAGGTTAGTAAGAATCTTATCCATTATGAGAAATTTTCCCCTTAATTTTAGATGTTTCTGATGTTCAGGATTTTCCTGCATAGTGTGAATATTTCTTTTGGCTAACTCTAGGCTTGCATCATATGGCAGACAACTAGTAAAGACACTGTTTTCAATTTCAGGTTCTGAGCTATGGTTTCTGAAATATACATATAACAGACTTTCTTGAAGATGTTTTCCAGTTTAATTTCACTTACAGATTGTTTGTAGGGCTCTTGAATTTTGGTATTCTTTTACTTTTTTAAAATGGAAGATCTGAATGACTTCTGTGTAATGTGATTCTTCACACCTATAGTCTTTATACATAAACTTTCCTTAAGCCTTTGCTTTTAGCAATCCAGAGTTCCTGGTGTTCAGCATGGAAGTGTAGTAACAGCCCTTAACATTAAATGGAGTTTTGTGCTTCTCTCCATTAGAGGTCCAGAGCCTTCTACTTGACCTCAACCACCAATGGTCTGCCATCTACCCTAAGTTCAGTGCTGGGGATAATCGTGCAAGTTTTTATAAACTTTAAAGTTTTAATCAGCCCATCATACCATACACCTGGAAGTGAACTGGGAGCCAGTAGAGAGCATGGAGCACAGGTTTTATGTGCTAATAGTAGCCTGCCCTGTATAAAAGGTAATGACATACTACACTAACCGAAGCTTGAGTAGTCTTAAAGGCAGCCCTAAATAGAATGTATTGCAATAGTGCAGGATAGACTCCAGTGTTCTAAAATGCTTTTTAAAAAAAATTTTCTACACTTGACTATGAACAAAAGTGCTGGTTTTATTCTGCCTGGAATAAAATGTTTCAAGGGGGCTTTGGGTCTTCAGTGTGCTGATATCCAGGGCATAGTGCAGCAGGTTGGTTTTCATCTGGGATTATTTAGAAAGAAAATTCAGTTTGGCTTGGGCTATGATCCACCATGATTTTCTGGGGACCTGTTTTGAGGTAGAGTAGAGCTCACTCACGGTTAATCTCTGGATGTAGTTGTGACTGCAGAGAAGCAAGTACTGTGTTATAGCTTCATTTTGATGAGTGAAAGGTATGTGTCACCCCATTTCAGCACCTTTTATTATTGTTGAAGATCAGTTTGTCTGAAGTCTCTGTATATCTAGATAGCATCAAAATGGGAAAATATCTGTTGCACACAGAGTGATTAACTTTCCAGTGTTGTGAGTAAGATGGCATAGTCAACAGAATCTGAAGAACTAGCTTGTCTTAGGGTATGTCTACACTATGAAATTAGGTCGAATTTATAGAAGTCAGTTTTTTAAGAAGCAATTTTATACAGTCAATTGTGTGTGACCCCACGAAGTGCATAAGGTCGGCGGAGTGCGTCCACAGTACCATGGCTAGCGTCCACTTTCGGAGTGTTGCACTGTGGGTAGCTATCCCACAGTTCCCACAGTCTCCGCCACCCATTGGAATTCTGGGTTAAGCTCCCAATGCCTGATGGGGCAGAAACATTGTCACGGGTGGTTTTGGGTACATGTCATCAGTCGTCCCTCCCTCCGTGAAAGCAACGGCAGGCAATCGTTTTGCGCCTTTTTTCCGTGCACTCACCATACTGCTTTCAGCAGATGGTCCAGTAGACTGCTAACTGTTGTCATCGAACCACCGCTTCCACTGCAATTCTGCTCTCCTGCTCTTGCCTCGATAGCTAATTTCTCCATGTTGGCTGTCATGGGCTCCCGCTTCCGCTGCAGCTCTGCTCTCCTGAATCCACCTCACACATCATCAGCCACTGCTTCCACTGCAACTCTTCTTTCCTGCTCTCCTACAGACGCCATACCACGGCAAGCGTCCAGCCCGCTCAGCTCACCTACACCGCCGCTGCTGTGTCCTGGTGCTGCTGGCAGCAGACGGTGCAGTAGGCCTGCTAACCATCGTCATCCACCGCTTTTGCTGCAACTCTGCTCTCCTGCAGATGCCATACCACGGCAAGCATGGAGCCCACTCAGATCACCGCAGCAGTTATGAGCATTGTAAACACCTTGTGCATTATCCTGTAGTATGTTAAGAACCAGAAACTGCAAAACCAGGCGAGGAGGCGACGGCAGTGTGGTGACGAGAGTGATGAGGACATGGACGCAGACTTCTCTCAAAGTACAGGCCCTGGCAATTTGGACATCCTGGTGGTAATGGGGCAGGCTCATGGAGTGGAACGCAGATTCTGGGCCCGGGAAACAAGCACACGCTGGTGGGACTGCATAGTGTTGCAGGTCTGGGATGATTCCCAGCGGCTGTGAAACTTGCATGCGTAAGGGCACTTTCATGGAACTTTGTGACTTGCTTTCCCATGCCCTGAAGAGTAAGAATACCAAGATGAGAGCAGCCCTCACAGTTCACAAATGAGTGGCGATAGCCCTCTGGCAGCTTGCAACGCCAGACAACTACCGGTCAGTCAGGAATCAATTTGGAGTGGGCAAATCTACTGTGGGGGCTGCTGTGATGCAAGTAGCCAACACAATCAAAGATCTGCTGTTATCAAGGGAAGTGACTCTGAGAAATGTGCAGGTCATAGTGGATGGCTTTGTTGCAATGGGGTTCTCTAACTGTGGTGGGGCCATAGACGGAACACATATCTCTATCTTGGGACCGGACCACCTTGGCAGCCAGTACATAAACCGCAAGGGGTACTTTTCAATGGTGCTGCAAGCACTGGTGGATTACAAGGGATGTTTCACCGATGACAACACAGGATGGCCGGGAAAGGTACATGACGCTTGCATCTTCAGGAACTCTGGTCTGTTTGAACAGCTGCAGGAAGGGACTTACTTCTCAGACCAGAAAATAACCACTGGGGATGTTGAAATGCCTATAGTTATCCTTGGGGACCCAGCCTACCTCTTAATGCCATGGCTCATGCCATACACAGGCACCCTGGACACTAGTAAGGAGCAGTTCAACTATAGGCTGAGCAAGTGCAGAATGGTGGTAGAATGTGCATTTGGATGCTTAAAAGTTTACTGACTTGGTTAGATCTCAGTGAAACCAATATTCCCTTTGTTGTTGTTGCTTGCTGTGTGCTCCACAATATCTATGAGAGTAAGCGGGAGACGTTTATGGCAGGGTGGGAGGTTGAGACAAGGTGCTTGGGCGCTGATTACGTGCAGCCAGACACCAGGGTGGTTAGAAGAGCACAGGAGGGCGCGCTGCGCATCAGAGAAGCTTTGAAAACCAGTTTCATGACTGGCCAGGCTACGGTGTGAGAGTTCTGTTTGTTCATCCTCCTTGATGAAACCCCCCCCCCTTGGTTGACTCTACTTCCCTGTAAGCCAACCGCCCTCCCTCCTTCGATCGCCTCTTGCAGAGGCAATAAAGTCGTTGTTTCAAATTCATGCATTCTTTATTAATTCATCACACAAATAGGGGAATAACTGCCAAGGTAGCCCAGGAGGGGTGGGGGAGGAGGGAAGCACCGGGTGGGGTTGGGGAGGAGGGAAGGACAAGAACCAGGCCACACTGCACTTCAAAACGTATTAAATGCCAGCCTTTTGTTGCTTGGGCAGTCCTCTGGGGTGGAGTGGTAGGGTGTCCGGAGCACGCCCCCCCGCATTCTTGGGCATCTGGATGAGGAGGCTATGGAACTTGCGGGGGCGGGCGGGCGGTTACGCAGCGGTGGTCTGTGCTCATGCTGCCTTTCCTCTAGGTCCACCATATGCCGGAGCGTATCAGTTTGATCCTCCAGTACCCTCAGCAGTGCCTCCTGCCTCCTCTCATCATGCTGCCGCCACCTATCATCTTGCTCCCGCCGCTTCTCCTCATGTTCATTTTCTGCTTTCCTGGGCTCTGTAATTGTCTGCCTCCACGCATTCTGCTGAGCTCTTTCAGTGCAGGAGGACTTCATGAGCTCAGAGAACATTTCATCGCGAGTGCAGTTATTTTTTTGCCTTCTTATCTGCGCTAGCCTCTGGGACGGCGATGATAGGGGAAGCGTTGAAACATTTGCAGCTGCGGGAGGAAAAAAGGAAGAGTAGTATTTAAAAAGACACATTTTAGAGAACAATGGGTAGACTCTTTCACGGTGAATGGTTTCAAACAGCGCCCTCCTTTCCCATACCCAGCACCCATTGGGTTGGCCATTTAAAAGGAGGGGCTGCGGGTTTTGGGTTAACCTACAGCACAAACCCAACTAATCCCCGCCCACACCCCATTCTCTGGGATGATAGCTTCACCCCTCTTCCCACCGCGTGACTAGTATCAGGGAAGATCCCTGCCAGCCAAACATGAACAGCTCAGAGTGAACTCCCCCCCACCCTCCCGTGGCTAAAAGTGGGGATGATTTCTTTTCAGCCACAGGAAAACAGCCCAGCAGGAACAGCCACCTCTGAATGTCCCCTTAATAAAATTCCCCTATTTCAACTACGTGACCATGAATGATATCACTTTCCTGAGGATAAGAGAGTTAAAGAATGGATGTTGCTTGAATGCCAGCAAACACCGGGACCATACGCTGCCATGCTTTGTTATGCAGTGATTCCAGACTACGTGCTACTAGCCTGGTGTGGTAAAGTGTCCTACCATGGAGGACGCAATAAGGCTGCCCTCCCCAGAAACCTTTTGCAAAGGCTTTGGGAGTACGTCCAGGAGAGCTTCGTTGAGATGTCCCTGGAGGATTTCCGCTCCATCCCCAGACACATTAACAGACTTTTCCAGGAGCTGTACTGGCCGCGAATGCATCCCAAGTCTTCAGGGAAAATTAATCATTAAACACGCTTTTAAACCATGTATTATATTTACAAAGGTACACTCCCAGAGCTGTCTTCTCCGCCTTCAAGGTCCGGGAGCCCAGGTTGGGAGCTTATTGGATCCAGGGTGATAAACAGTTCCTGGCTGTCGGGGAGAATGGTTTCATCCTCCGCCTCATCATCATCTTCCTCGTCCCCAAAATCCTCATCCCTGTTGCGTGAGACTCCCCTCTTGCAGGAGTCCACATACAGGGGAGGGGTAGTGGTAGGGGCACGACCTAGAATTTCATGCAGCTCATCACAGAAGCAGTGAGCCTGGGGTTCTGCCAGGGAGCGGCCGTTTGCCTCTTTGGTTTTTTGGTAGCCTTGCCTGAGCTCCTTAATTTTCACACTGCTGCAGGTGCCTGTTATAGGCTCTGTCCTTCATGCCCTTGGAGATTTTTTCAAATATTTTGGCATTTCGTCTTTTGGAACGGAGTTCTGATAGCATGGATTCGTCTCCCCATACAGTGATCAGATCCAGTACCTCCCATTCGGGCCATGCTGGAACTCTTTTGCGATTCTGGGACTTCATGGTCACCTCTGCTGATGAGCTCTGCATGGTCATGCTGGCCAAACCAGAAATGAAATTCAGAAGTTCCCAGTGCTTTTCCTGTGTACCTGGCTAGTGCATCTGAGTTGAAAGTGCTGTCCAGAGCGGTCACAATGGAGCACTCTGGGATAGCTCCCGGAGGCCAATACCATCAAATTGCATCCACATTATTCCAAATTAAACCCGGCGATGTCAATTTCAGCGCTAATCCCCATGTCGGGGAGGAGTACAGAAATCGATTTTAAGAGCCCTTTAAGTCGACAAAAATGGCTTCTTCGTGTGGATGGGTGCAGGGTTAAATCAATCTAATGCTGTTAAATTCGACATAAACTTGTAGTGTAGACCAGGGTTTAGAACGATTAGTAAGAACTTTGCATCAAAGTATAGCATGTAGTAGTTGCTGCCTTTTTAAACCCTCCCCCCCAAAAAAAAAAAAAAAAAAAAAAAGCACAATGTCATTTGCGCTCTAAAGGAAAAGCTGAATATAAAGTTTATGGACACCAGTAAATTTGACAAGACTGATATCAGTTCTAGTGCATTTTTGGCTAATCAATTTGGGTTTTTTTGTGTTCTAAGTTAAACCTGTCTCTCTCAAAAATCCCCAAGTAATGCAGAAACTACAGAGTATGCCATATATAATGCCTGTAAATATTAACTTTGATCTGTTCTATGTTAAATGTAATTGGTCATGAAGCTTACCATACTTTGTATATTAAGTTGGCTTGCATTGGAACTTTCTGTAAAATCATGGAGGATGATCTAAAATTGATACATCTGCATTTTGACTAATAAATTATTTTAAAAATACAACTGAATGACTAAGGGTACATCTACACGGGGATAAGAGACCCACGGCTGGCCTGGATCAGCTGACTGTGGCTCGGGCTAGGTCCCAGAGCTTGGCTCCAGCCCAAGCCTGAATGTCTCTACACAGCCATTTTTCAGCCCCACAGCCAAAGTCCTGCAAGCCCAAGTCAGCTGACCCAGGCCAGACGTGTTTTTTTTTTTCCTGTTTAGACCTACCCTAAGAGCAACCTATGGCAGGACAATATATGTTTATTTCCTAAGTCATATGATGATGCCAAAATGAACTCTGTATAAGAGAGATGTTGGCCTATCTGGAGCTCCTTTTCTTCCCTCTGCTGATGTGCTTTTAAATGATGTATTCTTGTCCATTAGTTATAATTTACTGAGATTGCAGTAGCACCCCAAGGCCCCAGTCAGGATTGAGGCTCCATTGTGCTAGGTGTTGTGCACCCCCAGAAGAAGACATGGTCTTTATGTGCTAGAATTTAATTAAGAATATGAGAACAGCCATACCTGTCAGATCAAAGGTCTATCTATCCCAGTATCCTGTGTTCCGACAGTGGACAGTGCCAGGTTCCCCAGAGGGAATGAACAGAACAGGTAATCATCAAGTGATCCATCCCTGTCTTCCACTACCAGCTTCTGGCAAACAGAGGCAAGGGACACCATCCCTGCCCATCCTGGCTAATAGCCATTGATAGATCTATCCTCCATGTCATGCTCTTTTCAATTTTATCACCTCTAAAACAGAAATTATCAAGATGTTGCGATTCAAACTGCTCCGCTCCTGTTGCAGGATGTCTCTTGCTGACAATCATTCACCATATTTAATCACTTGGTATGTGATTGATTCCTCTTTACTCCCAGAGCTATTGTAAAAGAAAAGTTTTTCTCCTCAACTACTTTGCTTCCAGTTCTTTGTCTGGCTTCTGGTTTGGTTGTCACATGCAAGACACAAGGACTCTCCTCCATACTAATGCAGTTACTGGTGCTGAATTACCCCCAAGAAGAAGCTGCACTTCTTCCTCATGTCCAATATTAACTGTGATTCTAAAGTTGTCCGATGTTTCCCGTTCTTCCATTTCAAAGTCACTCAAATGTTTCCTCCTTAAATGTCTCAGTATCAACTCCTTAGTTGAGTTTTTCTCCTTCCTTTCTTCTCAATGAAGTTTGACACAGTAGGCATCATTTTCTAGACCCGTGGTCCATTGACGACTAATCTATGGCTCAGTGCTTTTTCAGGAAATCCAGGCAAAGTTATGGGCTGTCTCTTTTTTGCATTAAAGAACTGTAGACCTTCAAATGAAGAGATTTACCAAATCTGGAGCAAAACAATTTAGCTCCATCGTAGCTTAAAAGTCTGTGTTATGCATACAGGAAGGTGATTTTTTCATTTCAGGCATAAGAACACCAAGTCAAGTGATTTAATCAGGTTAGACCCATTAAAACTCCTCTTCACTTGCAACAATCTTGCAGTTTGCTCCTTTTTTCCTCCTCCTCCTGCAACTGCTTTGAAATATTATAAAAGCAAGAAGTACAGCTCCAATTTCAGAATTCAGGGTTGTTTTGCTTATCCCTTCTTTAATTGCAGGGTTTTTTCCATCTCTTTTCTTGTGTTCCATCTCAAAACAGCATGATCTTTTTTGGAGGACATTACTCCACCTTGGTGTTTTACCCTTTAGTTTCCCTTCCAATTTTCACATGAGTTTTTCATTAGAGGTTTCTTAAGTATGAGATCCATGCAGCCGACTCTCCCCCACCCCCGCAAAAGCATAGGATCTAATGGGGGGAGTGGAATTTATGAAGATAAATGAGTACCACAGAGATTTTCGTGAAACATTTACCCTCTATGCAACTATCCCTTCATCACACCTTCGAGATTGCCTTTGTGTGCTTTACTCTTATTATTACAGTCAATCTGTTGCTAAACCTATCCTTTTTGCTCTCATTTCAGTGTCTGACTTAAAAGGTACCATTTTAAATATCCATAGGAAAAAGAGGCCCTTAAGAATTTAGTGCACACTAAAATTATCCAAATACTAAAAATATTTACCCAGAAACGTCTAACCCTGTGAAATTCAGAGATTAAAACCTTCCACCTTTGGGGCATTTGAGAGATTGAGGTTGATCTTATTTGGTGTAGATATTGATTTAGTCATAAAGACATGCTCAGATACATATAAGAATCTAGATAAAAAGGAGAATGAAAAGGAAATCACAGTTGCCAGAGGCATGAGTCCTAGAGGCAGCCAAATATTAACAATGTATAAATAAAGCATTTTGATCTCTTCTTATCTCTACTCCTTGGCCTAGGCTTGGAAAATAATTTTTTTTTTTTAAACAAAAGCCATTCTTACAGAAAGGTTCCGTGTGTGACAGTTTCCAGATTTACTGTAAACTGCAAACTACTTCCAGGAGAAGTGTCAGATGTTCTGACATGGATTCTGCTTCACAGCCTCTATAAAAAGGTGAAGGCTGACAGAGGCCATGAAAATATGAAGAAAGCAGATCTGGATTGCTGTGTTATGGAGGAGTGTCTTAGCCTCTTTCAGGGCTCTTCTGATGCTGGTGAAGTGAAGACATATGGTGAACTTGTCCTTTTATTTGAGTTGGAGTCACATTTGTTTGTGTTTTATTTTAACTTGCTTTAAACTTTTAGCGGGTGGTCACACCAGACACCTGCAACAAAGTGCAGAAGCTGCATTTGGAAGTTTAGTGTTAGGTATACTTATGTAGAGTGAACACTGGCTGAGAAAAAAGGAACCCTCTTCTAGCTCTGCAACTGACTTGCTCTGTAATTTTAAGTGAGGCATTTAGCCCTGCTGCCTCAGTTTCATAGAATCATAGAATATCAGGGTTGGAAG